GAACCACCTGCGTGGGCTGGCAAATGCCCGGCACTGAGTTTGCTCACATTATAAGAAGGTGCAAGCCCAGAGAGCTGTAGACTTACACAGACTTTTCTTTCTTCTCAGACTTTGTCTTTCAGTAGGCTGCACCAGAAAAAACAGCAATGGTATTAGCAAAAAGAGGGGGAAAAGAAGAAGCCCCAAGTAGAGCAGTTCTTAGGAGAGAAGAGATAAATAATCATTCCTGTTAGACCTGCGTGTGCTAAACTAGGAATTGGTGGAGCTGGAAAGAGTAAGGTGATGGGCAAGGGGCTTCCCAGTGCCCTGGGAAAAAGGGAGAGTGGAGGCTCCCAACAGCCCCACGAACACAACTGTTCAAGAGCAGGGATGAGGAGGGGAGCTCTGGCTGGCTGTTATCTTTCACCTGTGGAACTCGCCGCTGTCAGGTACCGAGGCAAAAAAGCCACCTCAGCCCAGCTCAGGAACTGTGTAGTTTCAGGACTACCACAGAAGCGACGGTGTTTGTACCCAGCGGGCTCTTACGAGGGTTCTGGCTGTGCTTCACCTCTCAGGTAAGAGGGGATGGGAACAGGCTGAATTTCAGAAGCTGCTTTTTTCCCCAGGTTGTTCAAAAATCGGTTCCCCACTGGGGGAAGCTCTCACTGCGTTCCCTCTGGGGTATGGCATGGTACTGACACATGAACCAACACCAAATATAAGGTGGCTGATATTTTATTTGTGTGGCCCTACCTACAGCACCCCAACCCGGAGCTGCTGCTGTCCTCCTGGCTGCTAGCTGACCCCCATGCGTTAGGCTGTCGGGCACAAACTTCTTTCTTGGGGCGTTTCACGGTGTTAAACATTTCACAGAAATCTTTACCTTCTTCTGAAGTATTTGATGAAAAATATTGTTGGAAGTAGGACTCTCAACTTCATGGTTTCTCCTGAGTATAAAGGCAAAGGTATTGGTGTGCTGGGGAACCTTGGCATCAGCTTGTGTAATGGCTTTTTGAAGAAGCTGTTCAGCCTTGTCAGTGCGATTTCCACCCCGCAATGGTGCGCGTTCTGCTAGAGGTGCTGGTGGCATTCTGCGTCCTAGGCTGCTCTTCAAGGGATGGGTTAGGACCAAAATCCTGGTTTGGTTTCCTGATCATTCACGTCGTTGCTGTTGCCTCTCACGCCACAAATCTAGAAAAAGCTTAGCGATTCCTGTGGGAATTGAAGAGATACAAGGATCTTACCTTCAAAGACTAAAGCTTCTCTCTTTCCAGGCTTCCCAGATCCCAGAGCCCCACGTGGGGAGGGATGCAGGCCCCTGACAGCGCGGTGTGGGTGGCTGATGCTCGCCTTTCCCCTGCAGCAGAGGCTGTAGATGGGGATGCCAGACGGCACGTGTCAGCTGCTCCCCCAGGAGCAAGGCTTAGCCCCGGCCAGTTCATAATTCCTCACATTTGGCCAGCTTCAAATCAAATCAGAAAATGTCCCACTGAAGTAGTGCTCGATCTCAGTGGACTTGGAAACTTCAGAGAAAGAAACTGCACTTCCTTGTAATCCAAAATAACGTGTAACTCTTTAGAGTTGGTTGAGGATGATGTGGTTGCACGCAGACTGAGAAGGACCTGTTACTTTGGTGTCATCATGTGCTGCCTCAGAGAAGCCGCAGACTGGCACGCTCAGGTAGCAAATGCTCCAAGGGCGTCCGGCTGCACTGCTGAACTGGGTGCAGAGTTATGGCAAAGCTGTGTTCTGCAGAGCACATTCTGACCTCGGGCATAAAGACCCTACTCTTCATGGCCAGTTATTCATCATCTTCAGTAACTTCAGCAGCATTGCAGAGCACGCGTCCTTGGGAGAAGGTCGGAGAAGTCCCAGGGAAACTGCCTGGCCTTTGCATCTCCTCCGCTCCTTTCCCTGGCTCTCCCTCACGTCCTTCCCTCCTTCAGAGTCCCTTCGTGCATCCAGGCCGTGGACTGGGCTTTATCGCTTTAGACTCCCGGGTTAGGAAGGGCAGGGTGGCCGTGCGGGCAAGCTGAGGGGAGAGCTAAGCCTTTCCCTGGGGGTGTCTCGGGGCAAGGACGGAGGCTGAGGAGGAGGCGAAGGGAGGGAGCTGGACAGAGGGGCCTGGCGCTGCGAGCAGGGATGTGGCTGCCTGAAGCCCCCTGAAGCCCAGGGATCTGCAGAGCGATCTGCTGGGTTCCAGCCGCGGCAGAGGCGGGGGGGGGAGCCCGTGCCCATCTCCACTGGGAATGACGTCTGGGTCGTTGATGTTTGCACTTCTCCTAACCTGGAGCTGGTTCTGAGAGTTCGAATTTGGGAAGAGTATTTTTCGGGGAAATATTTCTACTTGGGGGAATGGGTGCAGCAGAAACTCCGCTTTCCTGTAGCCTCTGCTGTGACAGACATTACCGACAGGAGCCCGGCAGGCTGGATCCCATCTGCCTTTGATTTACACTCGGGCCTCGCCCTGCTGATGGACTCTGGGAATCAGCTTTGGATGGCTGGGTTACAGTGGCATTGGTGAGACGGGGCATCCCAGCTGCTGAGCAGCTTTCTGGGAAACCTCCTTGTGAAAAAACAGTTTTTTTCCCAAATAACAAAAAAACATCATCCTCCCTATAAACATCTGGCTGCTCTGCGCTCCCTGCGAGACTGGAGCACGTGCTCTGAACCTCTGCAGGTTTTCTGTGATTAAAACCAAAGTAAGGTGTAGTCATCACAACGACAACAGCAACGTTTAGCACTTGGCAAGAGCCACAGCAAAGCACGGGAGGTGCTGGGGACTCTGCCGGGGGGTTGCTCGTTTCCGAGAGAGCCCAAGGAGCGCGGGGCAAGCGCCTGCTCGCGGGAGTGAGACACTGGTGCTCAGCGGGACAGGGAAAACCGAGCAGAAAGTCACGCTTCTGCAGCGCTGGGTTTCCAACTGAGAAAAGTTTCATGAAAAACGAGGTGATGCCAAATGCACCCCTGCGAGGTGGGGCTGGGGCATGGCCGGGCTGCTGAGGAGGGTGCCAGATGGCAGCAGGGAATGGGAGAGGGCTGGGGGTGTGTTGCGGTGCGTCTGGTGCCGGACAGACGGACGGCTGCCAGGCAGGACCTCGCAGCCTGGCATCTCCCCGGCCGGTGGATGCTCCGGTGGGGCTCTATGCTGAGCTCCATCCCTCTGGCCCGGGGGCTTGCAGCAGCACCCACGGCCCAGCCCCCATGACCCCCACCCAGCCCCGTCAGCCCCTCTGGGGAAGCGCTGCCAGTCCCCATTGTGTACATCGAGGACCTCGGTGGGCACGCCTGAGCCAGACGCGTTTCCGCGCAGTGTTTCTGCTCGGGGGGTGCCCACACACCCCCTGTACCCCCACCCCAAGCGCAGAGCCCGCTGCTCTGCGGGGTTCGGCTCCTTCCTTCGCCAAACCAAGCGGGTCGGGTCTGGAAACAGACGCTGAGGGTACGGCGTGCAGACGTGGTCCTCGCTGCTGCGCGAGGGGCTTTATTGGGCTGGAGTCCTCCCCCACAGCTAGGGCCCTTGCACTGCTCTCAGCAGAATGTCCCCCCTCGGCCAGGTCTACATGAGGAACCTGGAGAGGTCCTCCTTGATTTCGGCCTCGTCCCACGGCCCGTGGATGTTGTCCTTGAGCAGCTGAAGGCGGATGAGGCAGTAGGGGCAGAGGCAGGAGACGGCGAGCAGCAGCGAGGCGAAGAGCACGGCGCCGACGCCGGAGATGGTGGCCAGCCCCGCCAGCGCCGCCAGCGCGAAGAGCACCGTCACCCCCACGTAGCACCGCGGCGTCTGGGCTTTCAGCTTCTTCTGCAGCACGGGCCAGAGGGCGAAGATCTGCATGGCGAAGGTGACGGTGACAAAGGCGTGGAGGGCGCGGGGCAGGCGGGAGGCCAGGCAGACCGAGGCGAAGATGGCCATGTTGAGAGACAGCGTGCTGGAGACGACGGCGGCATTGGCGCCGTAGTCGAAGAAGACGAGGTGGCCGAGGAGCATGAGGGCCGCCATGGCGTAGATGGTGTCGGGGCTGACGGGCTCCGTCGGCGTCTTC